CCAACCCTGCCTGTGACGCAGGACCCGCAGAGAAACCTCCAAGTGACCTGGGGGAACACTCTCACGTGCCTCACCCCACATCCCTCGCGTTGACCACCTAGAAGCTTCCCAACCTATGGGCCTTAGCAGGACTCACTAAAATGTAGCCTGTCATTGACCAAAGAAGATTTGTCTTAGGAACCTTCTAGAAACTTGCCACTCACACACAGGATCTGAAACGTGCAGGGTGATTCCTGACAGGCTTAATTCCTGATATGTGTTACCCACTGGCCACCTGAGTCTCAAGGAAGTTCAAGTAGCTCTCAAAAATGTTGAGGTCCCTTCCCCTCGGTCCTGTGGATTTGGCTCCCCTCACTGTCCCCACCCATCAGCCCCTACAAATGGGTGACTGCCGGCTGCCAACATACTGCAGCAGAGAAAAACAGCCCAGGGGCCCCTCTTGCCCCTGGTGGCCCTGTGTCCGTGGTCAGAAAACACTCTTCCCTCATTCTCTACTCTTGACACTTTTTCTTGGAAAGAAAAGAGACTTTTCCAAAACACATTTCGAGGTTTTTCATAAACCCTGCAATTCCTCCAATGGTTTCAGATTATCTTAAATATTTATTAAAATCACTCTCAGCCACACTTCTTGAAACAAATCTCCCTCATTGACTTCGATTATTTAGATATTTACGAACATGATGTCTCCTTCCCTCAGAGCAGATGGCAGCTAGTAAGTCTTTGGAAAGGAAAAAAAAATCAATGGGACAGAACGTAAACTCAATGACTCCCCAGTTTACTCTTCCTGACAAGCTCTGGGATGATTATTTCTTCATTTGGTGGAAGCGCCGTACGAAAGCCAGTCAACGACTGGTTTGGGAAAGCATGGCGCCTTGAGCTGGAATCTAGGAAGGAGCCGCCAGCCAAAGGCTCCATTACCAGTGGGATTCAGAGCCATGTTAGGAGAGAAACAGGACAATGGGACGCAGGCTGGGGATGGAGAGAGCCGGCGGTGGGGGGGGGGGGGGGGGGGGGGGGGGGGNGGGGTGAGGAATGGGCACTGGCAGAGAACCTCCTACGAACCAGGCAGTGCGCTGGGAGGTTCCCCACACCACCCAGAGTGGATCTTCACAACAACCCTTCCAGGCGGTGGTGACCACCCCTCATTTGAAAGTTGAAGAAGGCCCAGGGAGAAAGGACAAATCTCGCTCAAGGTCACAGAGCTAGGGCGCAGCAGAACCAGGGTGCAAACCCAGTCAGGGCCCTAAAGCCGTACCCACACCTGCCTCTACAAGCAGAAACACATGACGGGAAAAATATCATGGCCCTTAACCTCATGCATGCTTGGCTACAAAGTTCCTACCTTTCTTTCAACCCAGAGAGGCCGCTCAAACCATCAAAGACTTAACTCCCAAGCAACAGGGGCTTTGTTCGTCTGAGAATCTGGGGGACGCAAATGTTGGTGGAAAGCTAGAAGGATCGATGCGAAGGTTATGAGGTAGGAAGTGGTGTCATCAATGCATAAAGAGTTAACTCTATGAGAGGGGGAAAAAAGACCTTTGCCCTCAGAAATGGATGAAAACCATGATCTTTTTTTTTTAAGTTTATTTATTTATTTTTGAGAGAGAGCTAGTGCGAGTGGGAAAGTGGCAGGGAGAGAGACAGACAGAAAGAGAGACAGAGAACCTCCCAAGCAGGCTCTGCACTCAGGGCTCAAACTCACCAAACGTGAGATCATGACCTGAGCTGAAATCAAGAGTCAGATGCTTTACCAACTGAGCTGCCCAGGCGCCCTGAAAAACATGATCTTTTTAATTTTTTTTTTACATTTATTTATTTTTGAGAGACCAAGAGAAACTGAGTATAAGCCGGGGAGGGGCAGAGAGGGAGACACAGAATCCAAAGCAGGCTCCAGGCTCTCAGCTGTCAACACAGAGCCTGATGCGGGGCTCAAACCCACAAACCGCAAGATCATGACTTGAGCTTGAAGTTGGATGCCCAACCACTGAGCCACCCAGGTGCCCCAAAACATGATGTTGATGATGCTTTTTCATAGAGCTTTTATCAAGTGTCCCAGATAGGGAAGGACTCCCCAGTTCTCTGGCGAAGCTCCAAGTCCAGTTAAAACAGAGAGGTGGGTCTGGCCTTTGAGAAGCTCACACAGCAGTTGAGGAAACAGTGATTATCACCGCTGATGAGGACCGCCATTTATCAGGGGTCTCAGCTAAGGGCGCCACACTCCTGCAAGAGCAAAGCAACCCCACGCTCTATGGTCCCATTTTACAGATGAGAACACTGAGGCTCTGAAATGTGGTGACACGCCCATGGGCAGTAAGTGGCAAAAGTGGGAGTGTGGATTCGGGCCTTGCTCTCTTACTCAGGCACCTGCAGGGGGAAGCAGGTGGAGAGGAGGTGATTTTGCCTGTTCACAGATGAGGAAAAGATGGTTCCTGCCTGGCCAGTGCGTAGCTCAAGTGGACCCATTGAAAACCTGAAGTGTCACAGACTCCACAGTGCTCACTGGAAGATGGTTTCACTGAAGATGGCCAAGTCCCAGCCTGCTGAAGCCACGGGAGGACAGGAGTCTCTTCAGACAAGGAAGGAGGGGACAGCAATGCTGAGCGTGAGGCCACAATCTCTTGGCACTGGCGTCCCTCAAGACTCCCTCCCATCACGGTCTCTGGATCCCGAGGTAAGAGCTGAGATTGGGATGCCGCAATGGGGAATCAAGATGCACTTGGGAGGAACTGCCAGAGAACAATTTCAAGGTCACCTACAGGCCAGTACACTGACCTTGAGGTGGTGACAGAATGTACCTCCATAAAGACCAAAAGAGAAGCCATCTCTCTTTTGTTCATCTGTCACAAAACGTGTAGCGTGTCTCCAGGCACATGCCAGGCAGCCCGCCAGGTGCCAGGGGAAACACAAAGGCCATTCACATGGGAGTGGAGCCCACAGGAGAGAGTGAGCGTGTTCCAGGGGGAAGGCAGGTGAGGGTCCTGAGTCTGCTGCTTACTAAGGGTCTGAGGCCCAGTCCTGCACTCTCTCTAAGTCTCGTAAAATAAGAATAAAGCCTCTACTTCCCAGGTAGCCGTGACCACTCCATGACTTAGAAATGATCTGCACGTGTTCACACCGCAGCTCACTGCTGCAGAAAGGTCCCTGCTATTGCCCGTCACAATAACAGTGGCACCCAGGCTCACCTCCTGCCCTCCAGGTGGGGGAGGGGAACCCCACACAGCTAAGGATGCTAAGAGAGGTACTCAGAAGCCTTTGGGAGCTGAGAAAGGGACAGGGACAGCTGTCAGAAAAAGCAAAACTACTTTGAAAATCTCCCAAAGTGCAAAAACCCATAGTGGCCCTTTATCTGAAGGCCATTTCCAAGTACCCCTGTGTATCGACCTCACCTCAGCCTCCTTCCTCATACACACCCCCTCCCCAAAGTCTCAGCAGGGATCTGGAAAATGCACGTTCCAACGTGCCTCCCCAGGAAGAAAACTCGGGCCCGCGACCACGCCTGCATGCCCCACCGAGTGAGAACACCACCTCTCCCAGCTTCCTCCACGTTTACAGGAACCCCCAAGCCTGGGGAAACAGCCCGGCTCCAGCCCTGGGGACCCTCTTCGAGACAGGCGTCTGCCGGTGGCGATCAACACGATGCTTCCTTTTCATTTCCACCAAATGCAATCTTGCAAGAATAGGAGAGGCTCAAAGTCAGAGTTTAAGCTCCTTTTCACAAGGAATCAATATTTTCACAAGATAATCCTCCTCGGGGAACGGATGGATTACAGAAATCCCAGGTGGCAAAATGTGGCTCTCTGGGGATTGTGGGACGGATGTTACGGGGCAAGGAAGCCACAATGTAGACCCACACCCACTCACTTCTCAAAACTCACCGACCCAGCTCTTCATTTCACAAATATCTACTCAGAGCCTCCCGGGGGCCCAGGGACCCCCTCCAGGCCAAGGGGGATGCAGAAATTAGTGGCCAGGTGACTGACAATGAGACTTGCCATAACTGCGCCCTCTCCAGGCCAGGAAGTCCAAGCTCACTTTCTCTAGGCCCTACTCAAAGCACCCATTTTACAGACAGACATCTAAGACCGGTGAGGGTGAGCGATTTGCCCAAGGTCACACAGCCAGTGAGGCAGCAGGGCCAGGAATTTAGCATAGGTGGAAAGTCCATGTGACACTCCCCAGCAACCTCCTTCCCCCCACCAGCTCCATTTCTTGCAGCTGGGTGGGGATCAAAAACGACCCCCCCCCCCACACACACACGGGGTTCCAGCCGGGGAATGGGGGGCGAAGTCCCCGGTTCCGTCTTCCTCCCACCCCCGACACGGCACGCACTGGTTCGAGACCCACTGTGTGAACACAGACCCAGGAAAGCCCTGCAGGCTGCAGGGGCACCCACCCGTTAACACCGAACTTCCATTTAAAAAAAAAAAAAAAAAGATGAAAAGATAAAGGGCAAAGAGGAAGTGCTCTTTAAACATAGGCGGGTGGTTACCCCAGGAGGAAGTCTTGAAGCCAATGGAGATTTTGTTCACCCCCTCCAGTTCCTCTGTTCGGAGCAACTGGCCTTCTAGCCCCCAAGCAAGTTGGCCGGGGGGCTGCACTGCGCCGGGGCCAGACCCCGCGCCCTCACCTGGCGCGCAGCAGGGGTCCTGGGGGGGCAGCCGCCCCGAGCGCCCCCTCCCTCCCGGCGCGGGGCCCCGCCGCGCGCTCCCCGCAGCTGGGTGGACACAGGCGACGGGGCCCCGCGGCGTGCGCTCCCCCTCTCCGCGCCCTCCCGCCCCCGCCGCGTCCTCCGGGAGGGGGGGGGCCCGCGCCGCCCCCACCCCTGCGGCGCCCCCTCTCCCACCGCCGCGGCGCCCGGCCCGCACCCCCGGCCCCGCACCCACCGCGCGCGCCCCGCGCCCGCACCCGCACCCGCACCCGCGCCGGGCGCAGGCGGCTCCGGGGGCGCGCGGGCGGGCAGGGCGGCCCGGGCGGCGGCGCGGCGGGGCCCCGGCACGTACCTGGCGGCCGGGCGAGCGGCGAAGGGAGCGCGGCCGCGGGCGCTGGAGCGCAGGAGCCTCGGTGCCGCCGCCGCCGCCGTTTCCGGGTTGGCGGGTCTCACGTCACCGCCACAGGTTCGCGAGCGGCCCCCGCCGCGGCGGCAGCAGCAGCAGCAGCGGCGGCGGCCCCAGCGAGTGCCAGGCGAGAAATAACTATAAAAGGAAGAGACGCCTCGAGGAGGAAGAGGAAACGCTGTTTACCTTCGAGAAGCCGAGCCGCCGGCGCTCGCACAAAAGGAGGACGCTCGCCGACGCCGCCTCCCCCCGCGCCCCGTCCCCGCCGCATCGCGGGGCCCGGCGTCAGCGCGCGCGGCGCCCCGGGACCGCCCCGCGCCGGCCCCCACCCCAAAACCCGCGGTTGGGGCGGGGGCCGGGGGGGGGGGCCGCGGCGGGGTGACCTTGGGCAAGTCACAGCGGGCGGGTGAGCCGCTGCTCGGGGCGCGCTGGGGTGGGGGGAGCTCAGCGCCCCGCTGACCCAGACGTGGAAACCCCAGCCCCAGGAGGCGCGCAGGGCCGGCCCAAGGTCACGGCCCGTCCGGCAGGGCTCAGGCTCCGGCGCCAGCCTCCCTCCCGACCTTGAGGCCAGCCCGGTTCCTGCGCCGTGGGTCCGCTTCCCTCTCCCCTGTGCTTGGCAATGATGCCAGTGCCTCCCGGCCCACCTCGCAGTGGGGTCGTGGCCGCGTGTGCATTCAAGACATTTGGCCTTCAACAGATACGTCCTGAGGGCCTACTAAGTGCCAGGACTGTTCTAGGCCCCGGGGACACAGTTGGGAACCCAAACAAAATTCCGGCCTGGGAGGCGGGGGGGGGGGGGCGGGCAGTAAGCAAATATCTGATGTGTTTGGAGGTGCTAACTGCTCTGAGGAAAAATAAAGCAGGATCAGGGGAGGGAGCGGGGTGCCTGAGCCACCATGAGTGGCTGGCTCCCCGGGGACTTTCAGTATGCGAGTTCCCAGGCAGAAAGCTCCTCTTTATAAGTCCAGCGTCAGATATTACGGAGACCCCATCTTCCCCCCCTGTACTGGCAATGAATGCACTCTTCTCCGGGTAACAACCCCACCTGCCTGGGGAGCGGATGCTCTTCCCTCTGCCTCGGTGCCCCAGCCCTCAGCAGGTCCTATCTTTGTCTTGAAATTCTGCCACATTTCTCAGGAATATAGACAGTGTTCTTTAAAGTGTCTTTGCACTGACCTCTGGCAGGACGTCCAGAGTTACATCAAAAGCCTTCACTGTCTGTCCGCCCTCCCCACCTCCAGCCATCCTGGATGTGTTGGGGGCTGGGATGTGCCTTTCCCTTACCCAGGCCCAGTGCTGGGAGCTGGAGGGTGCGGAGCTGGGGTGAGAAGATTTGATCCCAAAAGGACTCACAAGGGGCTCCTGGCCCCCGTGTCTGCAGGAAAGCAGCCCAGATGACAGAGTGTGGAGGAGACAGAGGGCGAAGGGTGTTTCTTCAACCTGGAAGGGGAGGGAGCCATAGGGGGGCAGGAGGAGATTGTAAAATTCCTCCTAGAAGTTCTGAGAGGTATTTAGGCCAAGTGAAAAAGAAGCACCTGGAAGCTTGCCTGAGCGGCAGTGCCCTCAGCTCTAAAGAAGGGACCCGAGGCCCCCCCTTGCTGTGGTGAAGAGGTGACACAGCTGGGTCCTGAACTAGCAACCTGAGAAACAAGGTGGGGGGAACCAGAGCTGAGCTGAGTCCGTTTCTTTCCTGGCTACTTACAAAGTGGGCATTAATAATCTGAACATTTTTGAAGTTCTAACCAGTTGCCAAACACCGTGCCCATCTAATTTAATTCTCAGAACAGCCCCAAGAGGCAGGTTCTTCATGCTCAGTGTTATGCAAGATACTGGAGCTGGGAGAGAGATGGAATTTGCCCAAGGTCAGACTAATGAGATCGCGCTGGAGCTGGGCAGAGACCCAGAGTGTCTGGCTCCAAAGCCCAGTTCTTCACCCTGAGCCTCAGTTTGCTCCTTTATGAAATGGGATTGACAATGACAGCTTCACAAGGTTGTGCTGGGGGTTAAGTGAAACAGCACACGTGTAGAACCTAGCACATTAGTAAGACCCAGGAGAGCACTGTCAGCATTGTAATTATGGTCGCAATCATGGTGAAAGGTATAGGGGGTAAAGAATTTTCTGGCATGCTTGGGAACCTCAAACACTTCAGAATGAATGTGACATAGAGTGTAGTGTAGGGGATCGCAAAGCAGGGAGGAATAAGTGAAGGTGTGTGCGGGGGCCTGGATCACGATTCACCTGCACTCCACTGAATTCAGAGATGTCTAAGATGAGGAGTCCAACTCGTGTGTGTCTCCACTCACTGGGTACAGCGAGGCTGAGAGGATGGTTCTGGCGTTTGATCATGCTCATCAGTCAGTTCCTCATAGATGTGACAAATTCAAGCAAATGGAAACCTGGGGATAAAAACCTAAACAAACAAAATTCCCCGCTGCCGTGACGGGCTCTGTTTCCCCGGGGTATCAACCCAGACAATGACAGATAGAAGCCTGACATCTCAGTCTGTTCAGGCTGCTGCAACAAAATACCAGAGACTGGATGGCTTGAGCAACATTTATTTCTCATGTTTCTGGAGGCTGGCAAGTCCAGGATCAAGGCCACCAGCGGGTTTGGTGGCTGTTGAGGGAGGGCCCACCCTCTGGGTCATAGCCTTCTTCAGTAGGTCCTCGCATGGCAGAAGGGAAGGAGCTCTCTGGGGTCTGTTTCACAAGGGCACTAATCCCACCGATGAAGGGCCCGCCCTCATGACCTAATCACTCCCAGAAGCCCCACCTCCCAACACTGTCACATTGGGGATCAGGTTTCACCCTTTGTATTGGGGGCAAACACAAGCAGTCGGCCCATAACATTTGGTGTCCTGAGAAGAGCATTGATTTTGGAGTCAGGAAGGCCTGCCTACAATTTCCGGCTGTGCAGCCTTGGGCAAGTCAATTAGCTTCTGACGCCTTGAATTTCCTCATCTGTAAAATGGGAATAATAACATTGTCTTCTGTTTGAGAAACGGGCAGGAGATCATGAATTTGTAGTGCTTTCCCGGCTGTGAAACAGCAGGCACATTTTGCTTGCAGTCTCAGAATCCTGTGTGCCGTATGCACAGCTTTCGAGCAAAGTAGCTGGTTCCTTCCATTATTTATGCAAAAGCCCGTCAAAAGTGTGCATTTCCTGTGGCACCTGAGGGGCTCAGTCGGTTGAGCATCTGACTCTTGATTTCATCTCAGGTCCTGATCTCACGGTTTGTGAGTCGCATCAGGTCCTGATCTCACAGTTTGTGAGTCGCATCAGGCTCTGCGCTGACAGTGAGGAGTCTGCTTGGGATTCTCCGTCTCTCTTTCTCTCTCTGCCCCTCCCCCATGTGTGCTCTCTCTCAAAATAAATACATAAAAATTTAAAAAGCCTCACTGGGCGCCGCCTGGGTGGCTCAGTCGGTAAAGCGCCCGACTTCGGCTCAGATCCTGATCTCACCTTGCCTTTCATGAGTTCGAGTCCCCCGTCGGGCTCTATGCTGACAGCTCACAGGCTGGAGCCTGCTTCGGATTCTGGGTCTCCGGCTCTCTCTGCCCCTCCCCCACTCACCCTCTGTCTCTCTCAAAAATATATAAAAAAAATTTTTTTAAAGCATCATTACTTTTAAATATACATTTTCCCACTCAGCATCTGCTTTTTCTCAAGAGTGAATGCTATTCCGTGGAAGGTAACAGAAGGTAGAAGTCAGGAGATACAGGGGAACTCTGGTTCTTGTCCTGCGGGCTAGCGTTTCGTAACTGAGTAGGTCCCACATCCCACGGGGGTACAGAGGCCCTGCACCTCGGGCCATTCAGACCTAACAGGCTTCGGGGAGGAGTCTCCCAGCCCGAAGCCACTGCGGGCTGCTGTCTTGGCATTGCAGGGCCCTGTGGAAAGGGCTTGCAGGTGACTCCGGCAGCCCCTTCAGACTCAGGGATTCCACTCCGGAAGGTAGACCGAGAGCTGGCTCCCAGGCTGGAACAGAGATCCTAACCCAGGCACACAGAGCCCAGGCTTCAAAAGCTGGTGAGTGATGCTTTCCAGGGACTGGGACAACGGGCAGTAATTGCTTAATGGACACCAAGTTTCCTTTTGGGGGGAGGAAAATTCTGGAACTAAGTCAAGGTGGTGGTCACACAACATAGTGTAGTAGATGCCACTAAACTGTTCACTTTAAAATGGTTAGCTATAGGTTATGAGATTTTCACCTGAATTAAAAAAAAAAATAAGGAAGGAAGAAGGAGGGTTGAGAGGAAGGAAGGAGGGAGGGAGGGGGCGGGGAACTTGGTGTGGTTGAGGGGAGCTGGTGAGCAAGACCTTTAGCATATTCTCAACATTTCACAACATCCAGGATCGGGCTGCACCAATGAAGCGCATGTCAAAATCATAGCCACTGGGTACCAGAACGCCTCTGAACAGCCAGTTTGTAGAAGTGATTCTTCAACAATTGGAAGTAAAGGGAATTAGTATTGAATAATGCAGCTGGGGTATGATTAGTTTTATTACTATTGTAACTTAGTTTCTGGCTCGGGCAAAAGAGCACGGCTCGTAGAAAAGCTCAGGGTGGAGGCCTGGACTCAAACCCTCGCTCTGAGCAGCTGCAGGGCCCTGGACAAAGTCTTCAGCTTCTCTGTGCCTTGTGTTTCCTGGTTACGTAACGTGGGGTGACAACGACATGCCCACCGTAGCACTGCTGTGGGGACTGAATGGGAAAGTGTAGGTAGAATTTCACCTACACTGAATTTCACCAGTGCAGAAATAGGTTGTCATCGTCACTATAAGGTGCACAAAACCTTCCAAAACGTGGGAAAAGAGCCAAAGAAGTTCTTAGGGGAGCTCTAAAGCCACCACCTAGACTCTGGCGACTTGCAGCTACACAAATGAATTTCACACCTGCCTGTGCCCGTACACAGCACGTGTCTGGCAGCAGGTAAGGGACTGAAGCAAGGCGTCCCGCTCCCTCTCCGTTCCTCCAGGTCTCCTGCCCAACACAGGAGGTGAGAGAAGAGACTGCATGGCAGGTCACCTGTCACCGTATATTAAAAAGTGACAGTTACCACGGAGAGCAACAGAGCAGAGTCAAAATATAGCGAATTCCCTGGGATTGTTTAGTG